TCCAGCATCCAATAGACGCTTAGCTGCATCTGATCTGGCGTATCTAGCAGCGAGATGGAGCGAAGTTTCACCACTTTTATCGGTGGTAGCATTTAAATCAGCTCCTTGTGCTACGAGATCAGCGATCACAGCTGCAGTACCGTCACTTTCATCTTCCTCTTCTCCGGTGTCAAGACCACCACCACGTACAGCGGCAACCATTAACGGAGTCATTCCACATGGTCCTCTAGCATCTACATCTTGACCGAGCTCGAGACTCGGTGGAGTTAAAACTCCTGCATCTGGTCTAGTTCTTATTTCAGCTGCATCCAAATGTTGTTGAGTCCACATTCTTGGTTCTGTTTCTTCATAATCTGTAATAGCCGTGTGATCACTCGCATAGCCAGGTTCGATAGCTCTCATTCTTTTCGACGGTGGAAGATCCGATTCGTCGTCCGACCATTGTTGCGTTCGACCATTTCCTACGTCAAGATCCATGCAATTAATCGATGGTTGTTTATTGAGATTTCGCATTTCTTGACCATCGGGACCTCTTCGACGTGATCTACGTCTCTGTCCACTTCCACTATTTGTTCGTAGAAAACCCTCTGGAAACCATGTTACTCCAACCGCTCGTCTTCTTTGTGTTGTCACCAAAACTCCCACAAGCATTCCTCCGACTACCACAACAAGAGTACCGATGAAGACAAAATTAAAATTTGTTGTTGGTTCAGGTTTTTCGGGATTTTGAGGACCAACAACACCTCGAACTTGTTCGATAGGGAAATTCCTCGAAAGAGTATGTTTCGAGGCTGTAGCAGCTAAATATTCTGCTGCTTCGTTGGCTGATGGAAAGCATACGGCACCTTGTGTTACTGTACATTTTCTATTGTCGATTTCTAGATACGCTATCACACCATTTGGACTATTAGTATAGACCGTCGCTGGTTTGCCAAAGAAGTTTGTTTCTAAACTTGGTTCTCGTTCTCTTTTCCAAGGATATATCATGTCATTACCAAGCTCGTCTAGTTTTACACGTAATGTAGTTCTTAATTCGTGACCAATATCTCGTAGAAATGCTACTACATTCGAACGGAAAGTTTGCATGTCCATCCTGACTACAACGGAAATAACACCTTCAGCTAAGGAAGGTGGTTTTGTTTCACAATCCAAGCCGTCCCAATTACATTCCTCGTTGTTACATCCATAATCGCAATGGCCGTTGGCGTAATGTTTCCGACAATACGCGTCGTATATCGGACTAAACATTAACAAAAAACATAATTAATATCACTTTTTCATATAAATCATAAGCTTGTTGAAATTTGTTATACTTACTTGCAAGGATCTAGTTTTCTCTCACAGTCTCTTCCATCGAAGAGACACTGAGCGTTGTTGCATACTTCATCGCAAACATCATTCATGAAGACATCCCAACAGTTTATTGGTGCGGTACAGTTCCTCCAAGGATTAATACCGAGAGAACAATCGTTTCCATCAAAATTACATGCGTATTTATTGCATTCTTCGTCACAGTGATGATTACCAGACTTTTCTTCACAACGATTTTCGATACACTTTTGCTTTTCGCGTTTCAGATCGAGATCGTAAGCATTCATATTCTTTGGAATATTTGAATTCGTTCTACCGAATACACCACCTCTGTAATTTGGGTCGTAAACTTCACAATTTTTGCCAGTCCATTTTGGTGGACAATAACAGGTATAATCTCCAAGAAGATTTTCACAAATGGCGTCTGATTGTTGGCAAGGATTACTAGCACATTCATCTCTAGCATCTATTTCACAGTGAGTACCTGTAGTTCCTGGCGGACAATGACATCTATAACCTATTTCAGTTTCAGTTATTCGGCAGGTACCACCGTTCAAACAAGGTTCTGTATCACAGTAAGAGCCAGCAAATTCACAATTTTTTCCATGATAATCGTTAGGACAGATACAGGTATGACCGGCTTGTTTAGCAGCACATACTCCACCATTTTGACAAGGTGAACTATCGCAGAAATTAACTTTTACTTCGCAATGGCGACCCATATAACCTGGTTTGCAGTTACAATGATAGTTATTTACAAGTTGAACACAATCTTGAGTACCAGGTAAAGTACAGGGATTCGATAAACATTCGTTGATATCACCCTCGCATCTTGGCCCTACGAAACCTGGGGGACATTTACATTCGAATCCACCAACTTTATCTGTACATGTTCCATTATTGTGACATGCGCCAATTACGCAATCATCCACGTTGATTTCGCATAAAAATCCAAGTGTACCTGGTGGACAGGAGCAACTGAAGTTATTGATTAGATCGTGACATGTACCACCATTTTGACAAGGATTTGGCCTACAATCGTCAACATTGAGTTCACAATTTTGTCCTTGGAAACCTTTCGTGCATTGGCATTGATATGAGCCAACTAAATCTTTGCAGGTTGCTCCATTTTGGCAAGGGGCAGAGTCACATTCATCGATTTCTTCTTGACAATAAGAACCAGTGTAGCCTTCGATGCAATGACAGCGATGACTGTTTCCAATATCTTCGCAAGTACCATTATTACAAAGATTCTTTTCAAGTACGCCTTTTCTAATAGCAGCATCTTTACACGAGACCATTTCTACATCACAAACTTTGCCCGTCCAACCTGGCGAGCAATTACACTGATATTTGTTATTGTGTTGAACGCATGTTGCTCCGTTTTCACAGGGACTATCAGCACACCAGTCTACATATTCGCCGCATCTTGTGCCGGTATAGCCATAAGGACAATGACAGGTATAATATTGTACATGATCGTGACAAGTGGCTCCGTTTAGACAAGGCGAACTATCACATTCGTTTATACGATATTGACAATTTGAGCCAGTATAGCCAGGTTTGCAAACGCAAGTATAGTTGTTTATTCCGTCGATACACTTGCCACCATTCATGCAACTGCTATCAGTGCAATCTTCGTCGTTTGTTTGACAATTTATACCAGAGAAGCCAAGTTGACATTGACATGTATACGAATTAACATATTCCTTGCAAACTGCACCATTTTGACAAGGCTGCGATTGACATTCGTTGACATCCACTTCACAGTGTTTGCCGTTGAAACCATCAACACATAAACAAGTATAGTCACCGATTCCATCTAAGCAAGTTCCACCATTTTGACACGGATCTGCAAATTTATAATTCATAGTATTTTAGAACATCAAATAAAGAATGACAACAAAACAAATAGTGTAATTAATTAAGACATTGTAACTAGTTTAATATAATATTAAATTAGGCGATATCGATTTGTTATCTGATCAAAATTACAAAAATTGTAGCTGCGTTAGTGTTGGTGATCTTTTTGGCAAATAAATGCAAAAACCAGCAATATTTAATCTGTTATTGCGACATTGTTCTGTTGCTTTCTGATTTAAAAGACGGTTCTAAACTTATTATAGTGAATCGACACTTACATGATGCACAATCATCGGTGTTGATTATGCAATCCCGGCCTTCGTAGCCTTTAGCACAGACGCAATGATAAGATCCATTAGTGTTCCTACAAGTGGCACCATTTCGACACGGGGACGTCATGATGCACTCGTCGACATCTTCGTCACACAATCTGCCAGTGTAACCTACGGTGCAAGTACAGGCAAAGTCGAGAAAGTTTGACGAAGGTGAGCATTTTGCATCGTGTAAACACCTGTAAAAATAAAATTTTAATAATTAAATAAGTTCCAAATATATTAATTAAAACCAAGAAGTGGTTAAATTAATTTTTATTTGTTATTTATTTAACGTACTTGTTAGGTGAACAAGGATCGAGTTTGTCCTCGCAATTTCTACCGGTATGAGGTAGCTCGCAAACACATTTGTAATCGTTTACAAGATCGATGCAAGATCCACCATTTTGGCATGGATTATTAGCGCAATCGTCGACGTTAGTTTCACAATTTGTGCCAGCGTAACCGGGTAAACACTTGCAACTATAACCATTGAGATGATCGTTACAAGTGCCACCATGTTGGCAAGGATTGGAGCCACATTCATCGATGTCAGCTTCACATCTTTTGCCACCATAACCAGGTAAACAATGACAAATAAATTGATTAACTCCGTCTTCGCAGGTACCACCGTTTACGCAGGGGTTGCTAGCACATTCGTCGACATCACTGAGACATCTTGCATCGTAATAACCGCGAGGACATTCGCATCTAAAACTATTTATTAAATCGATGCATCGGCCACCGTTTGCACAAGGATTGCTTGCGCATTCATTTATATCTGTTTCGCAGTGTTGTCCGGTAAAACCAGGCTCGCATTCGCACGAGTATCTAAAATGATAATGGTTACAAATTAACATGGTGTATTTGATAATTATTGATAAATTCATTAGGTACTTTATTAAATACCATGTTTATATTATCTGTATAAAGTTGAATTAGAAATTTAACAGGTTCTAATACACTCGTGTGATTTAATTTAATAATAATTCACACTCCCAAATTTGAATTGATCGTTCCAAAAGACAATTATTTACCTGTTGATACCATCAATACATCTAGCTCCGTTTCTACATGGATTACTGTAGCATTCGTTGACGTTGACCTCGCAGTTGGTACCAGAGGTTCCAGGTCTGCATATACATTGATAACCATTGATCCTATCCTCGCAACGTCCACCAAATTGGCAAGGATTGCTCTCGCATTCGTCGATTTGTGTTTGACATAGTCTGCCAGTGAAACCTGGGAAACAACTGCAACTGAAGCTGTTCTCGCCATCGATGCAGTTGCCACTGTGACAAGGATTCGATTGACAATCGTTTATGTTTGTCTCGCAGGATGCACCAGTGAATCCTGGTGGACATTCGCACGTATACTTTGCTATCGAATCCTGACATGTTCCACCGTTCTTGCATGGCGATGAGGCGCAATCATCGATGTTGATTTGACAGTGGGAACCAGCAAAACCATCGGCGCAGGTACATTTGAATGAGTTTATGAGATCGGTGCATATTCCGTTGTTCAGGCAAGGCTTTGCAGCACATTCGTCGATATCTATCTCGCATTGGGTTCCCGTAAAGCCTGTAACACATTTCAAAAGGTAATATTTTAATACTTATTTTCAACATTATCTTCACTTTTTATTCTAGTTATGCTCTTAATATTCTTTTTATAAAATTTAAACAAATATGAAAATGATAAATGATACATGTTTGACTAAACTGAATTTACAACAAATTTCGTATTAATTCATAAATGTTGATACCTAAAATAAAAAGAAATAAAAAATGAATGGTGAAGAACAAAGAGACGACTAAGCCTATTTATTCTTATTATCTTTTCGAAAAAATTCCATAAACAGTATAATAAAAAATATTCAAAAAAAGAAGATAGAGTTTGTTTCGGGATACATATGATCACGAGTTTCTAAAAGTAGCTAATGAGTTGAAAAACAGGTTAGTTGATTATAGATTAAAGTAAAAATAATGAGGGAATAACGGCGAAGTGCTAGGAGATTAGAGAGCCAATTTCCTATCGTTCGAATGCATTGGAAGCATCATGGCGAGAAAGAGAAAGAAAGAAAGAGATAGAAAAAGAGGAGAAACGACTAGACACCTAACAGCCAATCTATGTGTCCGCGCGATCGTGCGTACTCCCACGTTCGAGCAGGCGTGTTCGGGTAATTGTAATCTATTGCCTCGGTACAGTGTTCTCAAAAGAACCTACGCGCGTTGATAAAGTACATGAACTCCGAGGAGAGCACGATGCTGGTCCGTCACTTCTGCCTCTCACCTGGCTACCCTCCTTTCCTCTTCACCACCTCTTTCTTCTTGATCATTCCTTTCTTTTATTTTTCTCGTACTGTTGTACCCCGCCTACCCAGCCACGCGTATACGTGCTTTGGACTCGAAAGAGAAGATAATACAAGAACGCTCCTTTAAATTGGTAAACCAATATCTCGTTAAATCCTTCACCGCTATGTGAATTTCGTATGTACACCTTTTATCCTAGGTACCACAATTTATTATTGCCATTTTATTCATTCTCTCTTTATCTTATTTGTAATTAGAAACGAAAAATTGTTAATAACGAATATTAATTTAAGGATCTTTTATTCGGTTAAAGCGATTTGTTTTTTTACTGGAAAATTGATATTTTATTTTTTATATGTTTATTGCCATGTGATCTGTGTGCGTTTTATTCTAGAAATCACAGTGAAATTGTTATTATTGAGATATTATATATAGTAAACGTTAATTTGTTTTTCTTTATACTGCTATCTAATTATTAGTTTTATATAACATTTTGTATTCGGTGGAATTAAGTAATTCATATTTCATCGGCTACTAGCATGGACGTCAACGTATCAAAACGATTTCGATTTAATTGCCAGGAATTCTTGTAATTGTAAGATTTACGTTCTGTTCAAATTATTTTCTTTCTCTTCTTCGTATTTTATTTTTTCTCATTATTTCTCTATTTATCTTGAATAATCGACAGTAGTAGATCTTTCAAAGCAGTAGTACAAGTATCGGACTACCGTGCGTTGAGCTTCCTATCAAAGTTTCTCGATCGCGGATTTGATACATCCTTTCGATACTATCATGCTAAGCGGATGATCGTTACCTATACAATGTTTGACTTATGTAGTGTTGAAACGATAAATTTAAAAAGGACTAAGATAAATATAAAGTTAACAAACAGTTCTAGAAAAAAAAACATCTCGCAAAGATTTTTATTTCACCGTGTATGGATACAGGCGAATTAAAACTAGATCATCTGAAAATAATGTTCTCTTTCCTCTGTACTCCTAATATACTATATACACATATCATACAGTTTTTTTCGGTTAAAATCATACCGAAGAGATAATTACTACAATTTTCGATATAGATTGTTATCGCAAAATGAGCGAACATTTCTTTATCTCTTTGTTTTTCTTTTCATTAGTTCTTTATTCTCCAGTATATAATAAGTTTCAGGTATCATTTTAAGCTATCATTCGTAGTGATCTATTGCACGTATCCTGTTCATTGAAGTGTGAATGGCAGTGAATAGCAATAGAAAAATTTGACGGAGGTAGCACCTGCAATAGGAGAAGATACCGACTGTTATAAAAGAGAAATACAAAAGTCGAAGAAGCCGTTCGCGGATGAATCTAACGGTAAAACGTACGAGTTATCTCGTATGTATCGTTCCGGCATCCGGACGAACGACGCCTCGAAGCAAAAGACATACTTACATTTCTCTATCTTTATCTTTCAGATTCAAGTGTATATAGGATGAGTTTGCTTATTGTACATCGATCAATTTGATCGATATTTGTGATAATCGATTGAACACGTGTTTAACTTAGCAATTTCTTTATATAATTTTTCTATATTTTCAAGATATTTTCAAACAAATCTTATATATATAATATGACAACTCATTATATATGTGTATTATATAACTATTCTGAAATATATTTAAATATATATTATTTCGTAACTGTAAGAGAGAGAATAAAATTTAAAATAAACAAGTATTAAGTGATTAATGATTGATGCAATTGCCTATACTCATTTCCGAGATGCCCGAGTATCAGCTCGTATAAAATCAAATGGAGATCCTGCCACTTTGATGAGTTTACTTTGATTGATAAACTATATACGTTCTCTTAAATATAATTAAACATAACTGTAAGCGTAAACGTTATAATATAAAAAAAAAAAGTATTAAATGATTAATGATCGGTCAAATGTGTATATACTCTTTTTCTGCATATGAAATCTAATTAAGATGCTGTCTTTTAAAGTTAATTTGATCGGTAAGCCAAAATTCATCTAGTCATTTTAGTATGAATCCAAGAAATTTAAATTATTATTTAATTACATTAATTAACACACATGCACGCGCATGTGTATACAGATAAATTTTTTCTTTCTTTGAAAATGTCGTAGAGACGCGTGCGATACTCTCTCCGTGGTGGATGCATACACACAAGCATATATATACACACACACACACTACGAGCGCGAGAGATATCACACGCCTTGTATCATAGCTCTACGATGGTGCTTGGAATCAAGAGATTCCACGCTTAACGATGATACATCGCACTTCTTCGAGGACGATCCAACGATTTGTGGTAATGATCGGAAGCGATGAGCCTTGCCTGTGGAATATCGCGTGCGTAATGTTCATTAAAATGTGGCGCTTCTTGCTGCGATGTCGATGAACTGGCTGAACGAAGAAAAATAGAGAGAGAGAGAGAGAGAGAGAGAGAGAGAGAGAGAGAGAGAGAGAAGGATAGAAACAAAATCTTTTTCATTATCTTTTCATAAAAAGATAGAAAGAATAACAAATATATGAAAACATTAAGATAAAATGTGATAAGTTTAGTATAACAATTAATAGAGAAAGATATGTATTTTTAATTAAACTTTTATTAAAGAATTTATCGAATATATTTTTAATAGTTGTCTGAATTGAAAAGATGAATAAATGAATAGATAGATAACAATTTGGTTGACATGAAATTTTAATAAAAAAAGAAAGAGAAAAGGATCTACAAAGTATATAATTAAAATATAATTAATATATGATGAGGTAAATTTTTTTTTGTTTAAAAATCGATTTAAACTAACACATAAATTAATAATATTATTAGGTAATATTAATTTTGTCTTAAAAGAGCCAAGAGAAAACTATGAAATTCTAACTTAAAGAGAAAGAGAAAGAGAAAGAGGAAAAGAGAGAAATGATGTATCAAGATATCTTTCAAAGAAACTGTTGTAACTTTCATTGCAAAAAAGAAGAGATTTTTAAGGAGACCGGTAAAGTTGTGTACGGAGTCGTAGTTTGAAGCTGGTGACCTGGGTGTGGCACACGATCCGTGGAGATCTCGCATATGTGTGCTGAGAGGACCTATTCGAGAACGGCCGTGGCATGCATTGACTACGTCCGGGACTGTGAAACGGCATAATGCTCCGATATCTAACTTCTAAGACTCTTAGTTGGTTCCCTCAAAAGCGACTGTGGAGGAGGATTACGTAAATTCTTACGATTCTTGTCTGCATGATACTCAGAGTTTCTCTTACATCGTTCCTAAGAACATGTCTCTGTCTTTCTACCTGTATATGTGTGTAATTAATTAAACTCCATTCATGTGATAGTGGGTTACATTAATGCAATTTACCAATATAAAGATTTATTTTCACGTATTATTGTAATTATTTAATATAATATATTATTTCGATTTAATGTAAAGTATTATTTGTTATATATATTATATGTATACTGCGATACTTGTTCTCGTTAGAAGTGTATATACTTTTAAATAATAAAAATATGAAATTGAAAGAAATATATTAAGATTTTAGATTAGGAATGTAAAAATGTATATAATATTATATAATTATTAATTAAAAAAAAAAAAAAAAGAATAGAGAGAAATATTTAAAATAAAATGTTTAAGTAACCTTTAAGCAAAATTACATAAAATAAATATTGAAGATAAACGAAAGGTATCTTGTACGAAGAGAAATCATTAATAACGATCGTGGTTTATCCGTTTGTTAGAGTTTGAATGTAGCTAAGGGAGCTTTTCAAATACTTTAACGTTGCCTTCCCTCTTCTGTTTCTTCTTGGCAGTACCTTGACCCTAGATTAGATCCTCGATATCCTGGGGGAATCGAGGATTGAGGATATATCCTGACATATCCGCGTACACACGCGAGCTTTCGCGGACGACGGTTTCACGGCTGATTTACCGCCTCGACTTCTTGGTAATTGTTCGGGGCGTGGCGGCCCATACGTTACCATACATATATATACACATACACACACACACATACACACACACACACACACACACACACACACACAGCAATGTTACTCCAGTCTCCCACGCGCGAAACGAACCCGGGATTTACCGTCAATTCGACGACGACATTGACGGCTCTCGTTTCTTCGTGCTCTTTCACATCGACAAAACTTCTAATCAAATCGTTCAATTATATCGAGTAACAATTCTTCCTATGGAAATACTTTCAAAAATAGAAATATATTTTTTTGTTTCATTATTTATATAGAGAAATATGTGTTTAATTTTCTCATCATCGATTAGTATTATTTATTTATATACGTATATGTATAAATTGTATCACGTGGGATAATGTTTTTAGTTTCATTAAGAGAAAGTATGTTTCAGGTGTTTTTATTTATTATTATGTTTATTGGGCCTTTTTATTCTCCCTTTTACGAGTTCGAATTACTTTTCTACTAATACCTTCTCAAACCAATTCGATACTAACCAAAGAGTTCGCGTCTTTTTATCGTCTCTCTGGAGTCAATTGTACACGGATTTTTTGTTTTTCCAAACAGGTCATCCATCCATTTTACTAACCGTACCCACGTTACTTGACTTTAGTGATCTGATGGGATTTGTAATCCAACGTGGCTCTAGGCTGTTGTGACTTATTATTATGTTTATTATACTTATTTGTTACATTGTACTTAATTCTTTAGATTTTGATTATATCTTCAATTTTCATAAATTAATTTTAAAAATAGATAAATTCATAGCGACCGACTAGCATCAATGAACAACTGACAAGATTGGAGTATTAAATAAAAAGAAACTCGAGCAGAATTAATGGAACGAGTATTTCTCTCTTTAATCAACATACTTTCCCCTTTATGAGTTCTCGACAATAAAGTGAAACCAATTCCCTGGACTTTCTTCGAAAGAGTTTAGTAATTGTATCCGTTATTTTTTAAAGAATTGAATGCTGGATATCTTTGTGCACTTTCCTTCGAGATGAGAAAAAAAAATAAATCAAAGAAAAAAGATATATTAAACGAAGTGGAACAAGCAAACGCCGGATGCAAATCAGGTACAATGCATTCTGAGAGATTCGGGAGATCGAGAACCGTTTCGTTTCTTTCTTCGAGAAAAGAGAAGAGAAGAAAAGAGAAGAGAAGAGGATGAGAGAAAGAAAGAAAGAAAAAGCATGCTGTCTTTTCGCTTGGCGATGAAAGAGAGCGAGAATGTGGGTGTGGTCGAAGATGTCGAGCGTGCGCCCGGTTGCTGCTGTTGCACAGCACAACATCCAATACACAGCATCCACAACTCACGACGGCACTTTTCTTCTCTGCTCTCCTGCGCTTCGTAACCTCTATACGAGAAGCCAGGGCCGTGCTTTACCATACTTACGGATCTTTTACTTGCCCCGTTCCTAGACTAACGGTCTTTTCTATCGTATATATATATATATATATATAGATACGTATTTTCTACTCTATACAACAATTCCTATGTTTCCTTTTACATTAGAAATCTCATTTATCGACTCTGCCCTCTTCGAAGTAGCTACGCGTAACGATGGACCATTTAGATACGAATTTAACTTAACATCGATATAACTGTGCAACTTTCTTCGAGAATAAATATCGAAAACTGACAAGAAAGTAGACGTTATTTTATTTTTAGATTTTCTTTTATATTGTGAATGTTTTTGCTCTCGACTATATGGTAAGATTTTAATTGATTAAACTTTGTGATGGCAAAAGAAAAAGAACAAAAAATACAAAGGAAGATTGAGAAAAAAAAGAAAGGTATAAAATAAATCTCGATGATGATACGAAGATTAGTTTTATTCCAGGGAGATAATCGGCTAGATGATAAAAGTAAAAAGATCAAAGGGTCGGGGAGATAGAAACGATGACGAATGGAAAATAGGAAACGTATCGGCAGCTTAATCCAATTAGATTGAAATCTTATGTTAGTATCGACACGACGACTGCCCAATGCTGACACGCTCAAGATTGTGTTCAAACTGCATCTCTGGCGTTTTGATATAATTGGTCGATCCCTTCTCGAAACGATATCGATCGATATATCAAACGCGATTAATTGCTTTTAGAAAGAACGATCATATACGTATACACATACTTTACATTGAATATGTTTATTGATAAATTCTTCTTCATCATGATAATTATATATAAACTAACTTTATTGATGCTGTGTAATTTAAATATTTGCCCTGTTTAATCTACCCAAATGAAGATACTTAAAATAAGAACAGTAATATTATACGAACTATATTCACTACGACGAAAACGATTTTAATTACCTCGATCATAAGACGGATTAAAAGAAAAGCAAATAGATAGAAGGAAGGAAGGAAGGAAGAAAGAGAAAAAGGGATGGGAAAGGTTCCTCCTTCGCCGAAGATTGTAATTTATATCACGCTGCGTCGACAGGGCGATAATTATTATTCAAAACTCATACGTGGACTTCGCTGGAAGAGAAGATCCATCAACTACTCTCATAACAACAAAAAAATAATAAAGATATGAAACAATTTGTATCTTACCCAAACGACAATAACGTTACATTATTTACAAAATATTAATGTCTAATTCGTAATT